CTGTAGATCTAGACACTTAGACACTGTAATCTAGACACTCTAGACACTGTAGATCTAGACACTCTAGACACTGTAGATATAACATCTAGACACTGTAGATCTAGACACTCTAGACACTGTAGATCTAAGACACTCTAGACACTGTAGATCTAGACACTCTAGACACTGTACATCTAGACACTCTAGACACTGTACATCTAGACACTCTAGACTGCAATCTAGACACTCTAGACACTGTAGATCTAGACACTCTAGACACTGTAGATCTAGGACACTCTAGACACTGTACATCTAGACACTCTAGACACTGACCATCTAGACACTCTAGACACTGTACATCTAGACACTCTAGACCACTGTAGATCTAGACACTCTAGACACTGTAGATCTAGACACTCTAGACACTGTACATCTAGACACTCTAGGACACTGTACATCTAGACACTCTAGACACTGTACATCTAGACACTCTAGACACTGTACATCTAGACACTCTAGACACTGTACATCTAGACACTCTAGACACTGTACATCTAGACACTCTAGACACTGTACATCTAGACACTCTAGACACTGTAGATCTAGACAATCTAGACACTGTAGATCTAGACACTCTAGACACTGTAGATCTAGACACTCTAGACACTGTACATCTAGACACTCTAGACACTGTACATCTAGACACTCTATAGACCACTGTACATCTAGACACTCTAGCAACCAACTGTAGATCTAGACACTCTAGACACTGTAGATCTAGACACTCTAGACACTGTACATCTAGACACTCTAGACACTGTAGATCTAGACACTCTAGACACTGTACATCTAGACACTCTAGACACTGTACATCTAGACACTCTAGACACTGTACATCTAGACACTCTAGACACTGTACATCTAGACACTGTACATCTAGACACTCTAGACACTGTACATCTAGACACTCTAGACACTGTACATCTAGACACTCTAGACACTGTACATCTAGACACTCTAGACACTGTACATCTAGACACTCTAGACACTGTACATCTAGACACTCTAGACACTGTAGATCTAGACATCTAGACACTGTAGATCTAGAACACTCTAGACACTGTAGATCTAGACACTCTAGACACTGTACATCTAGACACTCTAGACACTGTACATCTAGACACTCTAGACACTGTAGATATAGACACTCTAGACACTGCACATCTAGACACTCTAGACACTTTAGATCTAGACACTCTAGACACTGTAGATATAGACACTCTAGACACTGTACATCTAGACACTCTAGACACTGTAGATATAGACACTCTAGACACTGTAAATATAGACACTCTAGACACTGTAGATATAGACACTCTAGACACTGTACATCTAGACACTCTAGACACTGTAGATCTAGACACTCTAGACACTGTAGATATAGACACTTTAGACACTGTAGATCTAGACACTCTAGACACTGTAGATCTAGACACTCTAGACACTGTAGATCTAGACACTCTAGACACTGTAGATCTAGACACTCTAGACACTGTAGATCTAGACACTCTAGACACTGTAGATCTAGACACTCTAGACACTGTAGATCTAGACACTCTAGACACTGTACATCTAGACACTCTAGACACTGTAGATATAGACACTCTAGACACTGTAGATATAGACACTCTAGACATTGTAGATCTAGACACTCTAGATCTAGACACTCTAGACACTGTACATCTAGACACTCTAGGACACTGTAGATCTAGACACTGTAGACACTGTAGATCTAGACACTCTAGACATGTACATCTAGACACTCTAGACCACTGTAGATCAGACACTCTAGACACTGTAGATCTAGACACTCTAGACACTGTAGATCTAGACACTCTAGACACTGTAGATATAGACACTCTAGACACTGTACATCTAGACACTCTAGACACTGTAGATCTAGACACTCTAGACACTGTACATCTAGACACTCTAGACACTGTAGATATAGACACTCTAGACACTGTACATCTAGACACTCTAGACACTGTAGATATAGACACTGTAGACACTGTAGATATAGACACTCTAGACACTGTAGATATAGACACTCTAGACACTGTAGATATAGACACTCTAGACACTGTAGCTCTAGACACTCTAGACACTGTACATCTAGACACTCTAGACACTGTAGATCTAGACACTCTAGACACTGTAGATCTAGACACTCTAGACACTGTAGATCTAGACACTCTAGACACTGTAGATCTAGACACTCTAGACACTGTAGATCTAGGAAACTCTAGACACTGTACATCTAGACCACTCTATACACTGTACATCTAGACACTTAGACACTGTACATCTAGACACTCTAGACACTGTAGATATAGACACTCTAGACACTGTAGATCTAGACACTCTAGACACTGTACATCTAGACACTAGACACTGTAGATCTAGACACTCTAGACACTGTAGATCTAGACACTGTAGATCTAGACACTGTAGATCTAGACACTCTAGACACTGTAGATATAGACACTCTAGACACTGTAGATCTAGACACTGTAGATCTAGACACTCTAGACACTGTAGATCTAGACACTCTAGACACTGTAGATCTAGACACTCTAGACACTGTAGATATAGACACTCTAGACACTGTAGATCTAGACACTCTAGACACTGTACATCTAGACACTCTAGACACTGTAGATCTAGACACTCTAGACACTGTAGATATAGACACTTTAGACACTGTAGATCTAGACACTCTAGACACTGTAGATCTAGACACTCTAGACACTGTAGATATAGACACTCTAGACACTGTAGATCTAGACACTCTAGACACTGTAGATCTAGACACTCTAGACACTGTACATCTAGACACTCTAGACACTGTAGATATAGACACTCTAGACACTGTAGATATAGACACTCTAGACACTGTAGATCTAGACACTCTAGATCTAGACACTCTAGACACTGTACATCTAGACACTCTAGACACTGTAGATCTAGACACTGTAGACACTGTAGATCTAGACACTCTAGACACTGTAGATCTAGACACTCTAGACACTGTAGATCTAGACACTCTAGACACTGTAGATATAGACACTCTAGACACTGTAGATATAGACACTCTAGACACTGTACATCTAGACACTCTAGACACTGTAGATCTAGACACTCTAGACACTGTAGATATAGACACTGTAGACACTGTAGATATAGACACTCTAGACACTGTAGATATAGACACTCTAGACACTGTAGATATAGACACTCTAGACACTGTAGCTCTAGACACTCTAGACACTGTAGCTCTAGACACTCTAGACACTGTAGATCTAGACACTCTAGACACTGTAGATCTAGACACTCTAGACACTGTAGATCTAGACACTCTAGACACTGTACATCTAGACACTCTAGACACTGTACATCTAGACACTCTAGACACTGTAGATATAGACACTCTAGACACTGTAGATCTAGACACTCTAGACACTGTAGATCTAGACACTCTAGACACTGTACATCTAGACACTAGACACTGTAGATCTAGACACTCTAGACACTGTAGATCTAGACACTGTAGATCTAGACACTGTAGATCTAGACACTCTAGACACTGTAGATATAGACACTCTAGACACTGTAGATCTAGACACTCTAGACACTGTAGATCTAGACACTCTAGACCACTGTAGATATAGACACTCTAGACACTGTAGATCTAGACACTCTAGACACTGGTAGATTAGACACTCTAGACACTGTAGATCTAGACACTCTAGACACTGTAGATCTAGACACTCTAGACACTGTAGATATAGACACTCTAGACACTGTAGATCTGTAGACCCCACACATGAATGGTCTCAGGATGCTTTACTGTTGGCATGACACAGGACTGATGGTAGCACTCACCTTGTCTTCTCACCTCACAAGGTGTTTTCCGGATGCCCCAAACAATCGGAAAGGGGATTCATCAGAGAAAATGACTTTACCCCAGTCCTCAGCAGTCCAATCCCTGTACATTTTGCAGAATATCAGTCTGTCCCTGATGTTTTTCCTGGAGTGAAGTGGCTTCTTTGCTGCCATTCTTGACACCAGGCCATCCTCCAAAAGTCTTTGCCTCACTGTGCGTGCAGATGCACTCACACCTGCCTGCTGTCATTCCTGAACAAGCTCTGCACTGGTGATGCCCCGATCCCGCAGCTGAATCAACTTTAGGAGACGGTCCTGGCACTTGCTGGACTTTCTTGGGCGCCCTGACGCCTTCTTCACAACAATTGAACCTCTCTCCTTGAAGTTCTTGATGATCTGATAAATGGTTGATTTAGGTGCAACTTTTACTAGCAGCAATATCCTTGCCTGTGAAGCCCTTTTTGTGCAAAGCAATGACGACGGCACATCTTTCCTTGCAGGTAACAATGGTTAACAGAGGAAGAACAATGAGGTCTCTCCTCTCTAAATGTCTTTCATCTCAGGTCTCTCCTCTCTGAAGGTCTTCCATCTCAGGCCTCTCCTCTCTAAATTTCTTTCATCTCAGGTCTCTCCTCTCTTAGTTTCTTCCATCTCAGGTCTCTCCTCTCTTCGTTTCTTCCATCTCAGGTCTCTCCTCTCTTAGATTCTTCCATCTCAGGTCTCTCCTCTCTGAAGGTCTTCCATCTCAGGCCTCTCCTCTCTAAATTTCTTTCATCTCAGGTCTCTCCTCTCTTAGTTTCTTCCATCTCAGGTCTCTCCTCTCTTAGTTTCTTCCATCTCAGGTCTCTCCTCTCTTAGATTCGTCCATCTCAGGTCTCTCCTCTCTTCGTTTCTTCCATCTCAGGTCTCTCCTCTCTTAGATTCTTCCATCTCAGGTCTCTCCTCTCTAAATGTCTTTAATCTCAGGTCTCTCCTCTCTTAGTTTCTTCCATTTCAGGTCTCTCCTCTCTTATTTTCTTCAATCTCAGGTCTCTCCTCTCTTAGTTTCTTCCATCTTTCTCTTATTCTCTCCCCATCTACTTCCCTGTGTTCAGGCTCTTCTTATGTGTGTGCTTCTGAGCGATCCCGTAAGGTACGTGAGCCGCGACCGTGCCCATCTCCGCCGCCCCTTCCACGTGGAACATCTGGTCATCAAAGTAGACGTGTGGCCTAATCTTCTCCAGCATCAGGCCCTTGGGGGCCCCGGCCAGGAAGAGGCCCCAGGCTTTCAGGGTCTTCAATGCCCGGATACCTGAGCTGGCTGCGCTGCGGGCCGTCACCAGGCAGGTACGGATGGTGCAGTCCAGACGGTGGCCCTTAGCATAGATCTTCTTCTGGAGTTTACCAAGGGACGCATGGAAATCTTTTAGAGGGCCCTGAGGAGAAGAGAGGAGACAAGAGAAGAAGAGAAAATATGAAAGAAGAGGAGAGAAGGAGAGAGGAGAGAAGGAGAAGAGAGGAGATGAGACAAGAGGAGCAGAGAAGAGAGGAGAGGAGGAGAGAGGAGAGTAGAAGAGAGGATAGTAGGAGAGAGGAGATGATAAGAGGAGAGAGGAGATGATAAGAGGAGAGAGGAGAAGAGAAGAGAGGAGAGGAGAAGAGAGGAGAGGAGAGGAGAGGAGAGGAAGAGAAGATAAGAGAGGAGGAGAGAGGAGAAGAGAGGAGAAGAGAGGAGAGAAGAGAGAGGAGAGGAGAGGAGAGGAGAGGAGAAGATAGAGGAGGAGAGAGGAGAAGAGAGGAGAGAAGAAGAGGAGAGGAGAGGAGATGAGGAGAGAGGAGAAGGGAGGAGAGAGGAGAGAAGAGGAGAGGAGAGAGGAGAAGAGAGGAGGAGATAAGAGAGGAGAAGAGAGGAGAAGAGAGGAGAGAAGGAGATGTGGAGAGAGGAGAAGAGAGGAGGAGATAAGAGAGGAGGAGAGAGGAGAAGAGAGGAGAAGAGAGGAGAGGAGAGGAGATGAGGAGAGAAGAGAGGAGAAGAGAGGAGAGAAGAAGAGAGGAGAAGAGAGGAGAGAAGAAGAGAGGAGAGGAGAAGAGAGGAAAAGAGAGGAGGAGATAATAAAGGAGAAGAGAGGAGAGGAGGAGAGAGGAGATGAGAGGAGAGGAGATGAGAAGAGAGGAGAAGAGAGGAGGAGAGAGGAGAAGAGAGGAGAGGAAGAGAAGATAAGAGAGGAGGAGAGAGGAGGAGAGAGGAGAAGAGAGGAGAAGAGAGGAGATGAGAAGAGAGGAGAGGAGATGAGAAGTGTCACTAGCTGAGGTTAATGTGGTGCGGGAGTCAGGCGCAGGACACCGAAGCTTAGTCCAACAACGTTTACTAGTGCAAAACCCAAGCACAAATACAATGAACGGCCTCAAACACAAACAGAGGCGAACGATTATGCAGACTGTGCGTAAACTAACAAAACAATAAACAGAAAGAACACGCAGCACTAACGGACAGGCGAATAACAACACACAACCTAACCAATACAAAACAGGAAACTTATAGAAAACATAATCAGACACAAACGGACACAGGTGCAATGGACAGACAAAAGCAATCAAACATAGAAACATTCAACGGTGGCAGCTAGTACTCCGGGGACGACGAACGCCGAAGCCTGCCCGAACAAGGAGGAGGAGCAGCCTCGGCCGAAACCGTGACAAGAAGAGAGAAGAGGGGAGAGGAGAAGAAGAGAGGAGAAGAGAGGAGAAGATAAAAGAGGAGAGGAGAGGACACGTCTACATACACGGTCCAGTAGAATGTCCTCGTTGTCTCTCTCGTGCTGGAGAACCCGTCGAGGCCCTGGGCCTGAAATATGCGTTGAATGCCACTCTTAGCTGTGTCTGCAATACCTCCGTCAGCTTATTGGACATGAACATGGTGGCTGCTGCAATGCCTTTTTGAAAACATTGAGACAGATAAACATTAACATGGTGACTGCTGCAATGCCTGAGAGAAAACATTGAGACAGATAAACATTAACATGGTGACTGCTGCAATGCCTGAGAGAAAACATTGAGACAGATAAACATTAGCATGGTGACTGCTGCAATGCCTGAGAGAAAACATTGAGACAGATAAACATTAACATGGTGATTGCTGCAATGCCTGAGAGAAAACATTGAGACAGATAAACATTAACATGGTGGCTGCTGCAATGCCTGAGAGAAAACATTGAGACAGATAAACATTAACATGGTGACTGCTGCAATGCCTGAGAGAAAACATTGAGACAGATAAAACATTAACATGGTGGCTGCTGCAATGCCTGAGAGAAAACATTGAGACAGATAAACATTAACATGGTGACTGCTGCAATGCCTGTTTGAAAACATTGAGACAGATAAACATTAACATGGTGGCTGCTGCAATGCCTGTTTGAAAACATTGAGACAGATAAACATTAACATGGTGGCTGCTGCAATGCCTGTTTGAAAACATTGAAACAGATAAACATTAACATGGTGGCTGCTGCAATGCCTGAGAGAAAACATTGAGACAGATAAACATTAACATGGTGGCTGCTGCAATGCCTGTTTGAAAACATTGAGACAGGTCTCAAGCTTGATGGTGAGCTTGGAGGGTACTATGGTGTTGAATGCTGAGCTATAGTCAATGAACTGCATTCTTACATAGGTATTCCTCTTGTCCAGATGGGAAAGGGCAGTGTGCAGTGTGATGGTGATTGCATCGTCTGTGGATCTATTGGGGTGGAAAGCAAATTGAAGTGGGTCTAGGGTGACAGGTAAGGTAGAGGTGATATGATCCTTGACTAGTCTCTCAAAGCACTTCATGATGACAGAGGTGAGTGCTATGGGGCGATAGTCATTTAGTTCAGTTACCTTTGCTTTCTTGGCTACAGGAACAATGGTGGCCATCTTGAAGCATGTGGGGACAGCAGACTGGGATAGGGAGAGATTGAATATGTCCGTAAACACACCAGCCAGCTGGTCTGCACATGCTCTGAGGACGCGGCTAGGGATGCCGTCTGGGCCGGCAGCCTTGCGGGGGTTAACATGCTTAAATGTCTTACTCACGTCGGCCACAGAGAATGAGAGCCCACAGTCCTTGGTAGCGGGTCGCGGCGGTGGCACTGTGTTATCCTCAAAGCGGGCGAAGAAGGTGTTTAGCTTGTCTGGAAGCGAGACGTAGGTGTCTGCGACGTGGCTGGTTTTCCTGTTGTAGTCCGTGATTGTCTGGAGTCACTGCCACATACGTCTCGTGTCTGAGCCATTGAATTGCGACTCCACTTTGTCTCTATACTGATGTTTTGCCTGTTTAATTGCCTTGCGGAGTGAGTAGCTACACTGTTTGTATTCGGCCATATTCCCAGTCACCTTGCCATGGTTAAATGCGGTGGTTCGCGGCATATAGTTCATGGCATCTGGAAAGCTCTACATGAAAGGGGCATGTACAGTGCCTTCAGAATGTATTGAAAATGGATTTCATTGTCATTTTTGGTAAACGATCTACATAAAGTACTCTGCAATGTAAATTGGTGACCTTCTTTGCGAGGCATTGAAAAACCTCCCTGGTCTTTGCGGTTGAATTTGTGCTTAAAATTCACTATCCGATTGAAGGACCTTACAGATAATTGTATGTGTGGGGTACAGAGACGGGGAAGTCATGTTAACCACTATTACTGAACACAGAATGAGTCCATTCAACTTAAAAATGTGAATTGTTAAGCACATTTCTACTCCTGAACTTATTTAGGCTTGTCATAACAAAGGGGTTAAATAATTATTAAATCAAGACATTTCAGTTTTTTTTATTTTATTAATTTCAAAAGGTTTCTACAAACAAAATTCTACTTTGACATTATGGGGTCTTGTGTGTAGATCAGTGACACAAAATCTCAATTTAACCTCCTATTGCACCACTACTGTAGAATAGTGTTCTCTACATTTACATTTTAGTCATTTAGCAGACGCTCTTATCCAGAGCCACTTACTGTTAGTGAGTGCATACATTTTTCATACTGGCCCCCCGTGGGAATCGAACCCACAACCCTGGCGTTGCAAACGCCCATGCTCTACCAACTGAGCTACAGGACACTAACTAAGCGCCTGTTCCACCACCACCCTACAGCATCACAGTGTCCAGCTCCCTCCCTCATCCAGGACACATTGTTATTGTTTCTACTGCTGATTACCATTTTAAAATAATGCAAAAGATTCATAGATAGCCCATGTGATTTGATTACTGAACCAATATGTGTTTTAAAAGCACTTCAACCACAAATCCCATTAAATGCATTGCAACTAACCCGTTATAGCCTGAACTTTACTTAAAGTAATAGTATACATTGATATTGTAATTACTCACATTTCAGTTGAATGCATTTCAGTTGTGTAACTGACTAGATATCCCCCTTTCTCTTCCTCTCTCCAGGATACTACGATAGTACTGCTCTCCTATTGCACAGACACCTTCACAGGAGCCACAGTCATTTCATTAGAGAAATTAGAGTTTTTTTTTTTTTTTACCCATAAACCCTCTTTGGGCTGGTTTCCTGGACACAGATTAAGCCTAGTCCTAGACTAAAAAAAGTTATTTCATCAATAGTATTTATCCACTGAACATGCTTTTTTTTTGTGTGTCCAGGACTAGGGTTCCTCTGTTTCCCAGGGAAGCGTCCCAAAGGGTACTACAGTATATGCAGTCCATTACTGACTGTGTAAATGACCTGAATAGCACACAGTATTATCATCTGTAGAGTCTTATCGATACTATTGACATCGCTATACTAAATGGCTTTACTAAATGACCAAAATGTATACTCATGTGCTTTTGCACATGTTTTATATATTAAAATCATAAATCTATGTAACACGTATGGTCAATGACAGATGTTTCTAGTCTGGTGTATTTGTTTCCCTGAATTCGTTGGTTTCAGATTGTTATTGCGGCCATATTTTGATTGATGGTGCTGTAGTTTCATTGCTGCAGAGTTAACGCAATTAAAATAAGCCAGTGCTCTTGGAGTAATCCTCAAACGGTACAGCTTACATGTCCTTGTACTGCGTAAAGTTCGTGATGCCGTTGACCTTAACAAGG